TGCTTGTTTGATTTTGGTCCTGTTAACCTCTTTTCCACTAGAGCCCTGCAGAGGGCTGTACCCACAATGCTCTGCTGGGCTCTCTGGCTAGGGCAGGGTTAGGATTTCTAAAATAAAAAATAAAAATGAAGTCACAGATAGCTGGAGGCAAAGGGGAGAGTTGAGGACTCAGGACTTGTGCTGGGCAGAGACACCCTTCCAGTAGTCTAAGATGTCATGAAGATCCTCATCTTTGGCAAACTGGACCTTTTTGCGCAGAGCGTGGCCAGCTGCCATGTAATCTTCCTCTTTGTGGCGCTTGCGGTGGAGTTTGAAACGCTCCCAGATGCTGTGGGAGGGCTTGCATGTATATTCTGGACTGGAGGAGTAGCTTAGGTTGTGGTAGTGAGGTGAAAGTTGGGAATAAGCCAGTTCCCTGGGTCTGGGCCGGGTCAAAGGTTCCAATATGGAAGTTTTACGTACTCCCATGTTTTCATGCTGAGGAAGAGACTGTTGTTGCTGCTGTTGTTGTTGCTGTGGCTCAGACTGATGCGAGCCTGGATAAGAGTGCCGGTGCTCTGTGTACTGGCGAATCTTTTCAGCTTCTGCTCTCAAGATGGCAGCAGCTGGAGTCACAGTGAGGATGGTGTCAGCGGTTGGGGAAGTCTTCTCAATGTATTTTGCTTCAGATTTGTGTGCTGATCCTTCAGACCGAAAGGATCTGGGGCTACGGATAGAGCCACTGGAAGATGTGCTAGAGCGTTTTTGTGGCACTTCCATGCTATGATGCCTCTGCAATGGGTGGCCATAGCTGTCCTTATATACTGGGGAAAGAAAGCCATGTTTGCTGGGTATCTGTTCTGATATTAATACCAGTTGGGGCTCTGCTGTCGACACAGCTCCAGACTTCACCCCTTGGAATGAAGTGGTTTCTGATTTCAGAGCATCTATACAGTTATTAATGATCTGATTAACTTTGTCCACTTCTTTTGCAATAGTAGATATCTCAGCCACAGAACTCTGTGTGTCTTGGGGCATTGACAATTCGCAATCCCTTCTATCAGACTGTTCACCAGTTCGTACCTCCATGTAGTTCCCTTTAGTTGCCTTAGGTGTCTCACTGGTTTCAATAAGTTTGTATTGCTCCACTTCCCCCACTGATGGCAAGTAAGGGATGCGTGACATTGTCTCTGGACCCATCATCTGACCTTGAGACAGCTGACTGATACTGGGAGTCTCCATTTCGGGACCATACTTCAGTTCAATGATTGTTTTTTTCATAGTACTACCGGCTTTTTTGTGCTTTTCCTCCTTTTGGCGCCTTTTGCGCAGGCAGTAATACACAATACCCAAAATGATGACCATACCAAACAGGCAGCCAAGGATAGTCATGATGTAGTGAGTGGCGGTGGAAGGCGTAGGCACATGTTCTTGTTTGGTATGGCTGCGTGTATAGAAGGCTATGCAGGTGTGGTTGAACCTGAGAGAGTTGCGAATAGATGCAACGCAGTAAGTGTAATTTGTATTGGGTTTCAACCCATCCAACCTAATGGACTCTTTCTCTGACTTCAGGTTCCGAATGTCAGTAAAGAAGCTATTATTGTATTGAACCAGGATGTACATCTTGCTGTAGGGGTATGGAATTTCTGCAACTAGAACTGCATCAGAATGTGTTTCTGTGTTCAAATTAACACTGAGGCTGACTTTGGAATTGGCAGGAGGAGTATATACATTAATGAGGGGTGTAGTCCCATCTCCAGAAAAACAGTCTTCTTCAGCACAAGGGTTTTCAGGAGGGCCAGTGGTGGCTTGGTACCTTGGAGACATCAAATGCGGCATCATTGTATATGAACCATCTTTGCACAGAGCAGACAGCATGCCAAGAGCATTGCGGTAGTTGGATCTTCCTTGACCCAACAAAAAGTAACCACTGTAGTCCGGTGGGGAATCGCACTGCATGCGGTCAAAGGTGCGTGTCATATTGGTAAATATGTCCAGCCACTTTAGGAAGCCCAGAAGCTCACATGAGCAATAGAAAGGATTACTGTACAATTCACACACAGTTAACTTACTGAGTCCTGCAAAGGTGCTACTGTCCAGCCTCTGGATCCGATTCATTGATAAGTCAATGTTCATAATGTTTGGGCACTCCCAGAAGGCATTAGGAGTCACAGTTTCGATAAGGTTCGCTTGGAGGTAGAGATACTCCAACTTGCCCAGCCCCCTAAGAATTCCCTCTGTGAGATTTCTTAATCTATTGTAGCCAAGCTGGAGCACTTGCAGATTGAACTGACCAGCAAAGGCTCCATCTTCAATGTAGGACACCTCATTCTTGGTGAGGTTGAGGTAAGTCAGGTTGCCAAAACGGCTTAGTGATGAGTAGTGGACACTTTTTATCTTATTCTCGTTGAGCCGAAGGTCCACAATGGTGCTATTAATGTGCTGTGGTATCGACTCATAAGGTGGCTGGTTTTGACTGCAAATAGCTAGCCAAACGAAACCCTTGTCTCCTTCGATCAGCCAGCAGTCTGCCTGTACTTGGCCCGTATATAAAAGGGCAAACAGAACAAACATCCATAAACAGAGTTCTGGCATTTCTACTCCTTTGTGAACTGCCATAGTCAACTATTCTCCAAGACTCCTTGGTGTTTCTAGTTTTGTGGAATACAGTAAATTATAAAATGAAAGAGATGTTCCCTTTTTTCACTTTTCTCCTCATCTGTACAATATAAAGTGTTCTGAACATTGAGTGTTAATGCCAGTTCTTGCCAGAGGAAGACTTGGGATGCGTTGAACAGTCTACTCTGTAGGTGTTGTGGAAGCAAATTCCTTGTGCATATTGAAGTCTGAATCTGGAGTCACTAAAGGCAAAGACACATTTGCTGGTTGATCTCTAAATATTATAATGCAGTTTGCAGGTCCTTCCTTTTTAGCCAATGGCATTCCATTATCAAACTGTTTTCTTTTAGGTAGCTGAAGATTTCACAGTGTGCCAAAAGTCTTCCTGAAAAAAAAAAAAAAATAATGAGTGTCTATGATTGTTACTTTTTATCTTTCAAAACATCTGTGATTGAACAATAAGAGAAAAGTCTCAGTACAGATATTAGCTCATGATGCATTTCATACATAACATTCAGATTGAATTGTTGCAATAAAGATAATTACACAGAAGCTTTAAAATATAGTTAACAATAAAACATTCAGCTTCTTTGTTATATTTAGTGCATATATCAACAGTAACTTTATTCTAAAATCTACCAACATTTATACACTAGGTAACAATTCACTGGAGGCCATATTTAAAAAAAATTTAAATGATGGTTAATCTATCAGTCAAGTCCATAGTTATAATAGCTGATATAATGCTTTCCCACTCTTTGCCCTGGTTTTGTTTTTTTAGAGAGTAATTCCAAGTAACAAAAGGTAGAGCCAAAGGAAATCTCACCACTTCAATTCGTTAGCCACCATCAGGACTCCCAGGTCCTGGTCTAATAGGTGTGTCTCCACCTTGGAATGTAGTAGTACATGAACAGACCTCACTGTCCAGAGAATTCCAATACTTCAGACTGTATTGAAATTCACAGCAAATCCAGTATAACAGTGAATAAAAGTGTATAAAGCAACAAATCCCAGCACAGCACGCCCCCAACCAGCTACAACCTCTCACATGTTTCACCCGTAGGCCTACTCTATGAATAAGCCTATGGGTGAAACATGTGAGAGGTTGTAGCTGGTTGAGGGCGTGCTGTGCTGGGATTTGTTGCTTTATACACTTTTATTCATTGTTATACTGGATTTTCTGTGAATTTCAATAAGCCTACGGGTGAAACATGTGAGAGGTTGTAGCTGGTCGAGGGTGTGCTGTGCTGGTATTTGTTGCTTTATACACTTTTATTCACTCTTATACTGGATTTGCTGTGAATTTCAATAAAGTCTGAAGTATTGGAATTCTCTGGATAGTGCGGTCTGTTCATATACTACTACATTCCAAGTAACAAAGGACAGTAATTACTGAGCTACTATCACTATCTGGCAACCATTGCAGTTGAGTTACTATCAGAAAGGTAATTCGATTGACATAAATATGAGTTCTCTGTGGTACACCGTGGGTAGGATCCAAAGAATACCTCACAGGGTAACTGAGAGTGCACTACACACTGTGTAACTTACTTTCTGCTTGTATCAACAATCAAATTCAAACTTCCATACAGGTTTGTACCTTATTGCTAGCTGCGAGAAATGTCTTTGTGCTGTAATTATTTTTTCCATGAAGCTTTTTGTATGGAGGGGGTGGCAAGGAGCGGAAATTCCTGGATGATAAACTGAAGTACTGAGCAAGTAGCTTTTGTCTCATGCATACTTCTCAACAGTTAATTTTCAAATATTAGTGACGTGTACCTTGCAATGAGTCACTGAGATGGAACAAATGTGTAGGCTTCTAGCTTTACTGCGTGCAGGCCTGTTCTAGGGCAATGACACAGTAGTGAAGCAAGGATAGAGATGACAGATTTGATACAAGCAACTTTAAAAGCATGTTGGCTATAGGAGCTCTAATGCTTAATTTCTGGCAGGATCGCTTTCAGTAGAGGGTGTAGAGCAACGATTATGTTTAAAGCTAAACTCCAGTCAAACAGCTGAATAACATATGTAATACATATAAGGTAGCTGTTTTACTTTTCAAGGTATTTGTATGTCTGTCTATATCCAATTCTGCCCTGCCTGGCATAGAAAAAAAAACCTGATTTTTTTCTCTCCTGCAGTTTAGTAGCTATTTTCCCTTTCCCCCCAGCCTGTAACTTGACAGTGGAAGGAGAAGCAGCAGACCAAGAGAGCTCATCTCTCTGTCACACTGCTCTCTCCTCCTCGCATGCTTCTTGTTGGAAATGAGCTGGCTTCCTAAACTGTATTAATTTGTGTCCTTTTATAATTTCCTTCAGTTTAGCTTTAAAGTGTAGTAACACAGAGCAATCCATCAAACTTACCTTCCATCCTCTTACCCAGGAGGAAGAGTAAGCATGTAAATACCACTTCAAAATGTAAAGTAGTACTAAACCATCCATATTAAAAATCTTATATAACAGCGTATGTCAGTCCCTCTATTTCTTGCTATGTAATTTTCATTTGCAGCCTGCCAGTTCTTTATATTCTCCCTCCTCCACTGCTGTCAGTAGGGTTGCTCCGTTCCCATGTATGGTCTCCTGGAGCCACCCTAATGTGCATGCTCCTGCCTGCACAACATCCTGACATGTTGGAAGTTCCTAAACCCTGCATTTAAAGCCATGTTCCTGTGCCTCCAATGGCATTGGTTAGAATGCCTGCCGAGACACTGAAAAACGCTGACGAGACACTGATGATGTGAAGTGTACAATGCATGCGCCCCGACCGGGCATTCAGGTAAGTGGCACAGAGCAAGCTAGAAACTGGCGAAGTTGTGAATGTTTTTAGACTTTTTTTAATCTAACATTTGATATCCTAAGTTACAATACAAATGTAGTTCAATACATTTGTATTGTAATTTGTACAATACAAATGTAGTTAGGATGATAAAAACTGTAAGGCTTTCCTTAGTGCTGTAGGTGCCTCTTGATGGGCTGTCCAATGGGTGCCCACAAGATGCACCCATAGGGTAGTGTTGCAAATGCCCCTGTCTGAATACATATTATTGCATTAAGAGCTACTGTTTTTTTAACTTTAGATATTCGCAAGGGAGGGTTATAATCCCTGCCAGTTTTTTTGTGGTTTTTTTTGCCATTTGTCCCATTGGAGAAATTTCTCTGCACTTCCTGTCTGATAGCCACAAAGTGATGGAAATCCCTGGTGATCAACAGGGTCAACAAAACTAGTGTCTCCATTGGAAGATTTCCCATCTAATTGTGTTCTGAATGCACACCCAAAAATCTTGGATTTTCTTTCACTTTTACTGTTGGTAATAAAGGTCGGAAGGACAAATAAAGAGGGTGAATATTCCTAATAGGGACACAGACAGCAATAAAAACAGGTGTTGTAATACCCCTACATCTGAAACTAAAACAAATGTTGGCTTCGGTTGAATTTTATTTTCTTGTATGCTTACATAGGAATAAAATATGGTAAGATAATGGAATAAGAGTAGGTTGGCCCTGCCTCGAAATTATGTTGCTTTAGCCTTTGGCCTTTTCATAAATTTGGAAGTGTACCAGGATAATCTTTGTCTATCCCAGATTCTGATATTTTACCTACAGTAGCCTTTACAGAGTCTGGAGAGAAGTCTAGCACCTGGTAACGAAAGAAAATTACATTTTACAGCATGCGGTTAATGAACACCTAGTAGAATGACCTTGAGTTTGACCTCCGATGTTGACTTAAATGTGTTTAATCCCCAACATTACAAACCTCCAGCAGTTCATTTCTGTCTTCGTGCTGTATATACAAGTCTCTCCCTCACCCAAAATGACTTTCTCTTGCCACACAGACTAGTGTAATAAACACATTTTATCAGGAGTAGAGTTTAATTTCAGCTCATTAGAGCAAGCAATTTGACGGTTATTTGCTTTCCAAAGTGTGAATGGAATGGCAGCATTAAGAAAGGAGAAACATAAGAAGGCTAATCTCACAGTTTACTGGATTGCTGTGACATGTCTGGGGAGTGGAGACCTTGTTTCAGACCAAAGGATATTTCTTTCATACTTCTGTTTTGCAGAGGAACAGATACTCAGAGGAGATCTGTTACGTGCCATATGGGAAGTTAGCCAGCTAGCGACAATTATTGCTTTTACAGGCAGCAAGAAAAGGATTTAACTCTCTGTATTAAAGATGAATGGCAGAGGAAGCTGAATTACAGCAGGCTGTAGATGACTGTAAATCGATCACAAAGGAATGAACATAATATAGTATATCAAATTGTAGTCTGCTGCTGTGGAGGACACTGCCAGGAATGGACTGCCCATCTGGCAATGTTGACATATACTAGAAGGGTTGGTGTGTCTCAGAGCATTTTCTTTTGCCAGTAGAAACTCATGAAGCCTCCCCAGGCTCACGTAAAGCAAACCTGTGCTTTGCTCATTCAGTGCATAGCAACAGGTTAGCTGTTATTCTCCTATCACCAATAGTATGCTGTGCACATTATGGCATGAACCCATCCCTGCACAGTGAACTTGATATCCACTTTTAGAGAAGTATATGGCACCCATTCAGGCCAAAGTGACATTCATCTTTGCTGCATGTATAAGTGCCCTTTATGGCAGCTTTCCTTTTAGATTGATTGAAGAAAGAAGCTGTTTTTGGGGGTGTAACGTTTAGGGTATTGAAGGATCCTTAGCCAGCCATATCAGCGAATAAAACTTTATTTTCCTCCAAACAGTACAACTTAAATAGCTTCTTTTCAGCAAACAAACATAAATTGTGTATCTTCCAGCAACATCCAAGATTTGGCACAGCACCAGTATCATCTCCCACTTCAGGGTTAGAGCCTCAGCCTGCTCATGGCCAGACACCCAGCTGCTTCACACCTCCCTGTGTGATGACGGTCCTCCTGGCCTTTCCAAACACACCTCGTGTGCCACAGACCCTCCTGGCCTTGCCCACACACCGTGTGTGCCACGGGCCCTTTCGGCCTCTCCAGCCAGACTCCAGCTGAGTGTCTCGTGCAACACATACACACAGTCTCCTGCACCACTGACTGCCTCTTCCTCCCTGTACACTCTCTTAATAGGGCTGTTATCAGCCACCTGGACAGTCTGGCCTGGCATTTGGGCTGCACCTGGCCCCAGGACTGGAGATTTCATCCCATCCAAGACTCTTAGCAATCTCTGAAGACCCAGATCCCAGTTATACTCTAGAAAACCTGGAAAGAACTGGAAACCAAGCTCCTTCCCTGTAACACTATATGTTTTCTGGACCCTCTCAGCCCCTCTGGCCGAGAGTCCTGGGCGCCAAACACATCAATCACCATAGTGACACCGCAATGTCCTGTCACAGGGGGTTTTGGTTGAAAGGAGAAAGCTGTGGAAATTCCTCATCCCTGCC